GTATAGATAGACAGACAGGCGTATAGTTCGAAGGGCATTTTACATAAAAACCTGGTTTGCTGGTTTCTTCTTGAAAAATCTGAGAATCTAGCAACAAAAGGCCCGCACTCTCACATGTCAAGAATCAGCTGGAACTGAGGGGGAACCTCTTCCCTAGGCAGAACTTACACTCTAACCCATTCTCTGAAAAAGATCACTTTGGAGGATGTCTCTGCACTTACAAAAAGACCTCTTTCCTCCTCTTTTGCAAAATGAGAATGCAGGGTCATTTTAACCAGGACCCACTCTCTGAGTCTTGAAACGAACACTAGGTGGGGAGGGCTGAGACAGACTGCACAAATTGCGACAAAATAGTAAACTGTTTGTGTCCTTGATATACAAAGACTAGTTAAGTCACTAAGAAATAGAAAAACAATCCCATAGAAAAGTGAACAAAAGATTAGGCAAGACACAGAATAAAAAAATATATCAATTGAACATGTGAAACACTCAACCTCACCAAAAGTAACATAACAATTAGAGGCATTTTTAAACAATAATATTGGCTAAAATTAAGTAGCGTTTTGGCACTGGTGAAGGATGGGAAAATGAGCAATTTCAAACAGGCGCTTTGAAAACAATTTTGCAGCACATATCACAATTTAAAGTCCCCAAAATGTGGTAATCAGGACTACAGTATTTCTTGTACGATTAAAATTACAATCAATTTAAATGTTCACCAGTTGGGGTTTAAGTAAATAGATTATGATATATCCTACAATGAAACACTCTGCAGCCCTTACGAAGAATATATTTTGGTATGTTAATGAAAAAAAGGTGTCCAAGACAAATGTATTGTTAAATTAAAAACAACTGACATAATAATATGTATTACATGAATCCATTTATGTTTTTTTAAACTATACATATGAGAAATTCAGGGGTGATATTCAAAATATTTAACCACTAGGCTGACACAGGGACTAGCACGCTGGGGCTGGTCTTCACGCTTTAACATATTCTTTTTTTTTTTGGCTGTGTGGCATGCAGGATCTTCCCCAGCCAGGGATTGAACCCGTGCCCCCTGCATTGGGAGTGTGGAGTTGTAACCACTGGACTGCCAGGGAAGTCCCCATCTTCACCCTTTAGTTGCTGCATTATGGGGGTCCTGGCGGGAAAGAGCTAGGGCAGATGAGGCGATAGTGGTGGATACTCGGAAGCCTGTGGCCAAGACTTATTACAAATCGCGTGGATATATATGCAGAGAAAAGTGAGAGACATACCAAACTTGACAGTGGTACAAGAGAGACTTTCACCTTTTCCTCTGTACAATCTTACTGTTTGAAATTCTAAGAACGAGTGTCGGATTTGGAAAAAAATTAACATAGGGGAAAACACCAGAATGGCCTATATGCAAAATGTATCATGATGTAAATGTGTGGCTTGGACTCCCCGAAGGCCAGAAGGAATCCAGGATCATCTGGAATCCCACGCTTCTTAGCACTCACTACTCTTTTTACTTTGCCCAATACCCCCCTCACCACCATGTTTTCTTTCCAGCTTTATTGAGAAATGATTGTCATACATCACTGTATAAGTTTAAGGTATACAGCATGATTTACGTATATTGTGAAATGACAACCACAGTAGATTCAGCTAGCATCCATATTCTCATATAGATACAGTAAAAAGAAAGAGAAAGAGGAAAAAAATATTTCTCCTTGTGATGAGAACTCCTAGGATTTATTCTCTGTTTTTTTTGTTTGTTTGTTTGGGGTTTTTTTTGCAGTACGCAGGCCTCTCACTGTCGTGGCCTCTCTTTTTGCGGAGCACAGGCTCCGGACGTGCAGTCTCAGCGGCCATGGCTTACGGGCCCAGCCGCTCCGGTGGAAAGTGGGATCTTCCTGGACCGGGACACGAACCCGTGTCCCCTGCATCGGCAGGCGGACTCTCAACCACTGCGCCACCAGGGAAGCCCTAGGATTTATTCTCTTAACAACTGTCCTATATATCACACAGCAGTGTTAGCTATAGTCATCATGTTGTACATTACATCTCTAGTGCTTATTTTTTTTAATCATATACGTTTTAGTTTATGCATTTTTTCCCAGCACCACCAAGTTTTGAAATATTCTTTTCTACTTAACAAACTGCATTTATTAAGTAATACATTATTAACTTATTCCCCACGTTTTATTAATCAAAAACATTTTGCTGCCACGTAGAACTCCCTACAAATGTCAAATTATCAATAATGCCACAGTGAATTCATATAATCACAACCCAGCATAAAGAAATGTGACATTCAGGTTGACTTATTTGGTCCCATCATAAAACAGTTCATATATTTTTGAAATATTGAAAATGTTTCTAATTAAACCCTTCCAAACCCTAGGGACTGGGAATGTTAGTTGGAGGACCATTTGTCATGCATTCTCCAGATGTGGAAATTAGATCCAGCGTGTGTGACCCTTCTCCTCCCTCAGAGGGCTAGCCCTAGGAAGCCTCACCTGTGGAGAGACTCAGGTGAGCTGAAACCCAGCAGGGGTTCTGGGGACACAGGTCAGAGGGCAACCATGGGGAGTAGCAGCAGGCCTCAAAGTCTCACTCTGGGGTCAGGCTGCACCTAAGAATCCAGAGCAAGTAGCTGGGAATAAATAAAGCTGGGGCAGGAGACATGACTTGCAGGTAGTTTTTAATAAGACAGTCAGAACAGTGATTCTCAAAGGGGGAAATATCAGAATGAAAGGGGATGGGTGGATGTCATTTGAAAAAGCATCATAATTTTATATATGGAGAAAAATATAAACTTATGTTTCCGTTAAAGCAGCTACCAAAAAGGAAGTTATAGAAAATCTTGGTTGATGAATATTTGTAGAAGAAATATTAATTCTCATACCTCCTAGAAAGAGGAGGTAAACTTTTATGTGACTGTAGAAGGGCCAGCAGTTTTTAAAATTTGAATTTGTAATTTGCTTTTATAAGCCAACTGGGGTAGAGTAGGGAATAGCAGACACCCTGGGGAGCAGAGGACACTATCCCAGGGGGGATGTGGCCAGTTATTAAGATGTAAGTACTAGGGACCTGCAATGGACTGAATGTTTGTGTCCTCCCCCCCAAACTCAGATGTTGAAGTCCTACCCCCAAAGTGATGATATTAGGAAGTGGGGCCTTTGGGAGGTTTAGGACGTGAGGGTGGAACCCTCATGAATGGGATTAGTTCCCCTATAAAAGGGACCCCAGAGAGCTTTCTTGCCGCTTTCCACCATATGAGGATTCAACAAGAAGTGTGCCATCTGCTGCTCAGAAGTGGACCCTCACTAGAACCCAACCATGCTGCCAACCTGATCTTGGACTTCCAGCCTCCAGAACTGTGACAAATAAATTGTTGTTGTTTATAAACCATCTGGTGAATAGTACTTTGTTATTGCAGCCCAAGCTGATTTAGACAGGACCTTGTCTGCTTGATCCAGCAGCATCTTCAGCATCTAAATCAGTGCTTGGCACACAGAAGGGACTCAATTAATATTACTGACTGAATGTTTTAATGACTATCAAATTCAGGACTAGAAATCAAGTCTCTTTTTTCCCCAGCCAATTCTCTAACAGATCCTGTAATTAACCTTACAAAAGTAAATATAACACGTAGCAAAACCATTAGCTGCCTATCCTAACACCCATTTTCTCTTCCTTCTTGAATGTCCCAGCCTCTCCTGCAGCTACATTCTGGTCAATGAGATGTAAGAGGAAGTGTTATATGGTACTCGCAGGAAGTCTTCATAAAATAAGGGAAGTGCACCTTTCCTCTTTCCTTCGTCCTGCTGCCTGAAATGCAGAAATGATGGGCTGGAGATCAAGCTGCCATATGGACCATGGGCAGGATGGCAAACAGGAAGATGGAAGAAGCCTAGGTCCCTGATGATTGCAGTGACCATACTCACCCTGATCTGCCTGCCTTCAGACTACTTTTACGTGAGAGAGAAATGAACTTCTATACTTCTATGTCAACGGTCTTCTTTGGGATTTTTCTATTATACTCACAGAAAGCCCACTCTTACTGACATGCGCTACCTGCACGTTCCCACCCCTGCCAGCAGGAGGCGCTGATCCCGCCTCTATGACACGGAGCACGTGAGAGTTTCATCCTCGCTCAGCTACCAGGAGCTCCACCTCCTCCGGCACCTGTAGGACTTTGGCTTCCGGACAGGGACGGCAACGTAGCTGACAGTGCTCAGTCTCCTTAGAACCCACTGGGGTTTCAGCTTGAGGACAACACTGGGCTGCATCTATGCGGACAGGAGCACAGTTTTCTCAGGACCGTCCCAGGGAGGTCCCACTGGGAGAGAACGGTGAGGAAAAAAGTGAAGAGAAGTGAGGAAAAGTGGGGAGAAACTTCCTGTGTGCGACTGACTGCTGGAGGCTGGGGGGATCCCTCTTCAGAGGACCCAGGAGAGAAAGATCTTGATGTAGAAAACTGTGGGGTTTTAGTCCCTGTTGTGTGCAGTGTAGACTTTGTCCAGTGTGGTTCTTTGGTGTGTGGTGTCCAGCTTTCCCGGTGCTGTTTATTGAGGGGACTGCCCCTTCCCTGTTGTATGTTCTTGGCCCTTTTGTCGTAAATAAACTGATCACACCCGTGTAGATTTATTTCTGGGCTCTCTGTTCTGTTCATCTGGTCCGTGTGTCTGTTTTTGTGCCAGAACCACACAACTGTTTTGGTTACTGTAGCTTTGTAATATTGTTTGAGGTCAGGGAGCGAGATGCCACCAGCCTGTTCTCCTTTCTGAGAATCGCTTTGTCTATTCCTGGTCCTTTGTTGTTCCACACAAATATTAGGATCCTTTGCTCTATTTCTGAGAAATATGCCATTGGAATTTTGGTAGGGATTGCTTTCAGTGTGTACATTGCTCTGGGTAGAATGGACATTTTAACAATATTCATCCTTCCAACCCATGAGCATGTGATATCTTTCTATTTCCTTGTATCTTCTTCAGTTTCTTCATCAATGTCCTAAAGTTTTCAACGTGCAGGCCTTTCACATCCTTGGTTAAACTTATTCCTAGGTGTTTTGTTCTTTTTGATGCAGATGTCATTCGGATTGTTTTCTTTTTCTTTTTGATGGTTCATTATTAGTGGTTAGAAATGCAGCTGTTTTTTGCGTATTGACTGTCACTTTACTGAATTCCTTTACTAGTTCTAATAGTTCTTTGGTGGAATGATGTGGAAAATTGTAACTGTAACTGATATGTGGGTGAGCGTCCGCACACCTAGGGGAAGTGGAGATCAGGTGAAAGTCTGGCACTCCAGGAAGTGGCCAGTTCCACGATGTAGCACCAACGACCCAACATTGGCTCTATTTGTTACCTGGGCCCCGCTCCCCAGTCACCGAGCTCTCTGGACCTTGAAGCAGGTCCCTATAAGACTTGGGACAGTGCTTACGGTAGAGATTTTCCACCAGTGTGTTGCTTCCTCTGACCACAGCCCTCCCTTCCTGGTTCATGTAGTTCCACAGATGCAGTGCGTAGGAGTCGTTGAAGCTCGGCTCTGTGTCCCAGGCTTCATAGTAGCGCCTCCACGCTGCATAGGAGATGGGATAAAATCTTTGGGGGTGTAAGAAGGAGAAGTTTAAACACTTGAGGTCGCTCACCTCCTGGAAGTCTCTGAGTTTGCACCATACTCTCAAAATCCTTGTCATCAATTCGGGACCCTGGTGGCCCCAAATATCTGAATTGTAATTTTCCACAAAGTTTTCCATGCACTGCCACAGGAAAGGGTGGTGGGGGAGGAATCCAAACACCCCATTACTGGAGAACTGAGATGTCTGCGCGGCCAGAAAGTTGTCCTCGGGGATGGGTCTGATGGAGATGACATCAGTATCCATGTAGACACCGCCGTACTTCCAGATGAAGGCCAGGCGGGATGCATCTGAACTGACGTGGAGCCAGTATCTCTCTGCGCTGCTGTTGATCTGCAGGAACAGGTGCAAATCAGCCCCCAGGCAGGGGAAGAGGGAGGGATGTCACAGCAGGAGGCCAGGCACAGGGTAGCTGAGCAGGAAGCAAGCCAACTTCCCAAAACTCTATTTGCCAAAAGCCCAATATTGCAAATGTACCAAAATTACCTCCACCCAAAAAAGTTGCCTTTAAGTGAAAAGTGTACAGCAATCAGTATCAATGGGAAGGTTTTAGCAGCTTTTAAAGATTTCATGAAATTGTTTTTTGAAAAAAGCAGTAGAAAGATGAAACCCAGAAGGGATTTCACAATGAACCCTATGAGTCACTTTCAGCAGGATGGAAATTAACCACAAATATGAAACTGTGAAGGAAGAATTTTTTGGTAAGTCCTAAAAGTGCTGAGAACTGATAAAGAAAAAAAAATAAATATGAAAATATAAGATAGATTAATAGCTATGCTCTTTGAGAAATTGATAAAAGAATCTTAAAATGCATCCATGCCTTCATCCACTAATTAATTCCTTTAATAATATTCATTGAAGGCCTACTTGCTATTCGCCAAGCTCTAAGCTGCTAAGGATACAGCAGTGAACAAACAGATAAAAATCTTTACTGGCAGGAGATAGACGACAAACAAATAAATATATCATATGTTGGGTGTTCATAAGGAATATGAAGGAAAAAAAGTCAGGCGAGGGGGCTATGAAGGGGGCAGGATACAGCACTATCTTATCTTGTGTTCGAACAGAACACTGGATGAAGTGGGTGGATGAACCATGCTGCTATCTCCGAGAAGAGGGCTCTAGGTAGAGGATACAGCAAGTGCAAGGGCCCTGGGGCAGGAGCACGCTCACTATGTACAGGAACAGGAAAACAGCAGTGCAGAGTAGTGAAGGGAGAAGGGTAGGAAACCAGATCAGAGCGGGGACAGGGGCGGGAGTGAGGGAGGATCCCGTAGGCTGGGGTAAAGACTGAAATGATTTGGAAGGTTTGAAAGAAAGGAGTGTTGTGATCTGAATTAGTCTAAAAGGGGTCACATTGGGTGCAGTGTGGAAAATAGATGGGGGCAGGGGGCAAGGGCAGAAGCAAAGAGGCAAGTTAGGAAGCTGTTGAAATAATCCAGGCAGGAGATGATGGTGGTTTAGACCAGGGTGACGATAAAGGAGATGAGAGAAGTGGTCACATCCTGGGCACACGGTAAAGATAAAGCCGGTCAGGATGTGCTGATGGATTGGATATGGAGCTGGAGACAGAGGAGTCAAGGATAACTGAAAACGGTGAAATGTGAACAAAACAGAAATTGACTTTGAAACGAATAAAAATAAACCATTATAAATGCCAGTGTTCCCAAATGGAATGCTAAAATTTTGAATACAGAAAACACAGTAGATTTTTCTGAATTTAAATATGTTGATTAAAAGATTAAACAATGACCCTTGGCTTTTGACAAAAGAAACATTTTTTAAAATTCTACTATAAAGCCAAACGAAAGCAAGTCCGCTAAGACTTTGCAGAAATCTTCACCTGAGCTATTAACGTCATTATATTGTACACAATTGCTGAAAACCTCATGAATAATAATAGCTACAATTTATAAATAACTGTGGCGGTGGGATGAATTGGGAGATTGGGATTGACATGTATACACTAGTATGTATAAAATGGATAACTAATAAGAACCTGCTGTATAAAAAAATAAATATAATTCAAAAATTTTTTAAAAATTTATCAATAACTGTTCTGATCTCTTATAATCTACACAAATCCTCAGAATAGGTGCTATTATTAGTCCTATTTTTCAAGTGAAAAATTAAAAGGAAAGACCGAGAAGTTCAGTCATTTGTGCAAGGTAAGAGAGGCAGAGGTTAGATTTTAACCCAGGCAGTCTGACTCCAGAGACCCACTTACTTTCAGTAAAAATAAGTAAAGTTGATTCTTTGGTAAATTGGTGAGTATTAGTGAACAGACCCAGATATCAAAAGCCGCACAGAAGGAAGGAAGCCTACCTTGATGTGGGCATTGGACTAACATCAACGTAAAACACAAGGCTCCCCCAGAGGTGAGCACCAGAAAGGGGATTAGGATTCTGCTTGCTCATTCCCTCCCCACCCCCTCAGTACTCATCCCTAGGCATCTTCAAGGGCTACAGTTGCCCAAATCAGTGCAGCAAATCCAGTGGTCACCAGCAAGTGATGGCACGCTAGGCCATCCTCACAGCTGGCCACCAGCTATCCTATTGTAGCCTAACTGGAGCAGAAGATACCACAGCCCGACTCCCCCAAGGTGCAAGTGTGTCCCCCACCCAGGACAGCCCACCCAGTCCCCAGGTGAATGAGAGAGGGTGGGACAGGAGTTTTCTCTTTTTTTATACAAATACTGTAGTAGGCTGAATAACAGCCACTCAGTGGTCCTAATTCCTGAAACCTGTAAATATTACCTCCTATAGGAAAAGGATCTTTGCCAATGTGATTAAATTAAGGATCTTGGGACTTCCCTGGAGGCCCGTGCTTCCACCACAGGGGGCGTGGGTTCGATCCCTGGTCGGGGAAGTAAGATCCCACATGCCACACGGTGTGGCCAAAAAAAAAAAAAAAAAAAATTAAGGATCTTGAGCTGAGATTATCCTGGATTATCATGGGTCCTAAATGCCACCACAAGTGTCCTTTAAAGGGAAAGGTAGAGGGAGTTTCGCACAAAATTACAAAATTCCTAAGAGCTCCAGGAGTTTCTTGATCGTATCTCAATGTAACCCAATCTCATACAGCAGCACCCACCTGATCTTTCATGAATTTTCTATTTACATCATTTTCCAGTTAAATATTGCCTTATTTCCCCCCTTAGGTGCAAAAAAGTTTAACATAGATGGGTTTAAAACTGTCAGTGAAAAATGAATGGTCTATACACCTAGAAAAGATGTAGAAACTCATTCAGTTAAGAATAGTCTCAAGAAATCCTAAGAAATAAGGTGAAAGCAAAAGGCAGCAGGGTAAAGATAAGCCTAAATCAAGTCTCTCCTGTTTCCTTGAATCAGGACTCAACACCGTAGAATGAAGACCAGGCAAGAGTCAAAAGATCTGGGTTCTAGCCTATCTCTGACAATCTAGCCTTACCCTCAGTTTACCCATCTATAAAATGGCTAGATTGGACCCATTTTCTATGGTCCTTCCCAACACCGACATTCTGAGATTCTCTGAACACTTACCTGAGTGTACCACGAAAACAGCGGTGTGTCTTCAAACAGGCTTTTCATATCCAAAGGGAAGAGGAAAACATTGTCTATTGCCGAGAGGAGGGAAAGGGCTGGGGAAGTGGAGTTTGGGGGCAGCTGCGTGGAATTGTTGAGCCCTTTCATAAGTAACAGCACAGGCTGCTCAGCGTAGACCTTGGCCGCAGACTCCACAGCACAGGAGACCAGCGGGGATAGCTCCATTCTCTCTGAGGTCTCTAGGAACACGATGCTGCGCCCATGGCCCAGGAGGGCTTCCAGCCCCTGTTGGGACTTGTAGGGAGGCAGGTGGGGGAAGAGGCAGCTGGACTTCTGCGTGAACTGGTAGAGGAAGCCACAGGCAAGCAGCAGGATGACCGACAGGGAGAGCTGAAGCTTCATCAGCATGTCCACCCCTCTCTCCTGTCCTGCTCCCTAAAATCAACACTATTAATTAAAAATTATAGTCACAAGACCTGATAAAGATAGCACACGAGAAGATGATACCTGAATATCACTTTCAAGCTTAGATTTTTTAATTGAAATATAGTTGATTTATAATATGAGATTATTTTCAGGTGTATAGCATAGTGATTCAGTATTTTTACAGATTATATTTCATTAAAAATTCTTACAAAATAATGGCTATAATTCCCTTGCTAAACAATATATCCTTGTTGCTTGTCAATTTTATACCTAGTATGGTTCATATTTCTTAATCCCCTACCCCTGTTTGCCCCCTGGCCCCTTCCCTCTCCCCTTTGGTCACCACTAGTTTGTTTTCTCTACCTTTGAGTCTGTTTTGGTGTTGCCTGTGTGTTCATTTGTATTATTTTTTACATTCCGCATGTAAGTGATATCATACAGTATTTATCTTTCTCTGACTGACTTATTTTAGTAAGTATAATATTCTCTAGGTCCATCCACGTTGCTGCAAATGGCAGAATTTCATTATTTTTATGGCTGAGTAATAATTCCATTGTATATACATATGTATATACCGCATCTTCTTTATCCATTCATCGTTTGATGGACACTTGGCTTGCTTCCATATCTTGCCTGTTGTAAATAGTGCTGCTATGTGCATTGGGGTGCATGTATCTTTTCAAATCAGTGTTTTTGTTTTCTTTGGTTATATACCAAGGAGTGGAATTGCTGGATCATGTGGTACTTCTGTTATATTTTTAGTTTTTTCAGGAACCTCCATACTGTTTTCCATAGTGGCTGCACCAATTTACATTCCCACCAACAGTATATGAGGGTTCCCTATTCTCTACCTCCTCGCCAACATTTGTTATTTGTAGACTTTTTGATGCTAGCCATTCTGACAGATGAAAGGTGATATGTCATTGTGGTTTTGATTTGCATGTCTCTAATAATTATAAGTTTTGATTTTTTAAATTCTAAATAAAATATGATCAAATTAAATCCAGCAATGTTAAAAAGAAAGGTGCATTGATTAGGTTTTATTTGAGGAATGTAAGGATGATTTGTAATAGGAAAATAATGAATTAATAGGAAAACTATTAATGAAATGCATTATTTCCACAGATTAAAGAAGAAAAGCTGTATGATCATTTTGGCTCAGTAGATGCTAACAACAGCATGCTAAAATTTGACATCCATTCATGCTTTTTAAAAAGCACAAGGAAACTTTCTTAAGCTGACAATGTCTACCAGAACATATAGCAATGATCATCCTTAATGTGAAGCATTTGAAATATCCCCATTAAGACCAGGAATATGACATGGATGTCCATTATCACTGTTACTTTCACCATCATTCTGCTAAGTCTAACCAATGCAGTGAAACAAGAGAAAAGAATTTCTACTATGAATATTAGGAAGAGACAAAAATATCACTAGTTGTAGAAAATATGATTGCCTACCTAGAAAATCCAAGATAACTTACCAAAAAACTAATAGAACTAAGAAGAAGCAAACTGAAGGTTAAATAACTTGTCAAGATCACACAGTTAGCGGAGCCATGACTTTAACTAGGGTCTGCCTGTCCCCAAAGCTCAGGCTCTGAGCAGTTACCTGCAGTACCACCCTCTCCTTCACCATAAGCTCTAACTCCAGCCAACTCCAGGACAGCAGAGATCTCCATTCATCAGTAGTCTATTTTTTGCTTGACATGTAACTCTTTCAGAAAATACAAATCCAGTAAATCAGAGCTTACCTTCCAGCCAGAAACTTGTAGTTAGCCAATAGCTGCCGTCTTAGCAATGATGACAAGATTTTTCCTGCTACACTTTCTGATAAATCACCACCTAACCTTCAATTCAACAGTGCTGAAGGAAGTAAATCATTGACAGAAGATTATGCCAAACACAAGAAGTTCCCAGGAAGCTCCTCCCTTTGCTAAGTTGCCCTAAACACAAAGACTTGTATATTGTAAGGCGTTCACATGATTTTTCAGGTGACCTACACACTAATCCTACTGGTTTGTGGGCCTATCAGGAGGGTTACAAGGCAACAATTTCACCTGAAGAAAACTGTATAGTAGCACAATCCTGGCGCCAGCAAAGTGTGCACCTAAGCAGTTTGGCCTCAGTCAAAATCATGGGCAGAGACTTGGGGAAGTTCCTTCACCAGACAACCCTGTAACTTGGTCCAAGCTTTGCAAACAAAAGATTTTGTTGAACGAAAAGAAAATTCATCTCCACAAATAAGTAGGTAACGTAGAAACCCCAGCAGTCCAAGGGCCTGGTGATCTGGAACGAGAATTGATTCCCCGATTTCAGTTATGGTGGCTTCCCTTTGCCCAGAAGTCCCCCCCTGTGGGATGTGAGCTTCCTCCCCGTCTCACGAGGTCGGCGTCACCACACTCCACTGATGTGGTAATCCCCACATTTCCCAAGATAATGTGACTCTCCTGTGGTCTGGTCCCTATCACCCCGACAGGCACGCTTAGTAATCCTCTTGCGAGCCACCTTCTGCTCTGTCTTCATCCAGAGCCTTCTCTCAGCCATGAACAGGTATCCACAGAATGCTCTGGTGTGAACAGGGAGGTTCCCTTCAAAGCAGACATTGGATCCTGATATAGCAGCTCCTACGTCAAGGGAAGTAAAGCTGTCCCACTTGTCAGTGGCTTCTCATTTTCTATGTGCCTGAGGTTCTCCAGGAACAGCTCTTTGGGTCTCCACACACTCCTATTCCTTTTGGAGCTGAATTTCTTCTCTGGACCTTGTCATTTCTAGGGTCAGGGTACCTTGGCATCTTTGCAAAAGTTCCCTGGCACTGGAGAGATTGGTCGTTCTTTCCTTATGGAGGGGCAGAGGAAGCAGAGCTCCTGGGCCGCACTCTGAAGTAACCAGAGGACTCCATTTGTGGGAGTGATACGTTCCTAGTGCCCACATTTCAGGTGGGTCACAGATCCTGGTGCCTTCTAGCTGCTTGCAAGATAGCCAACACCATCAAACAAGTGGTCGAGGCAGAGAGCAGGGAAGTAGTTGGTGATCTTTGTCACAGGGATGAAAGTGAGCATTAGCGATGCAGTGAAATACTAAACACAAAAAAAAGTAGGACCTGTCTGACCAAGAACCAAGTAGAGGGTATGATGAAAAGAGCAATGAGCTTGGAGTCATGCCTCTACCCACTGTAGCCAAGAGTACTAGAGCAAGTCCTGAAACTGCCCAGAGCCTCAGCTCCTCTGTACAGTGCTGACCTCAGGCTCATTGTGAGGATGAAAGGGCTCTATAAGCCAAAGAAGCAACCCCCACTTTCCACCAAGGATAAAAATAGAATACTATTACTGTAGATGGCCTGGACTCCCTGATGACAAACATGAAGTCATTGTTGCTTTCAGATGAATGAAATCTGTTTCCCAGTGAACAGCTGAGAAGGAAATCCTCAGCCCCGTGTGAGAATTGTTGAGATGTGTGCAGAAGTCGGCAGTCAGCCTCTGGTGTCTGGGATCTTTCTGGGTCACAGCCTGATGTCCTTGCTGACTCTTTCCAAGGAGGCCTCCTGTCATCTGAGGCACTCTACCGGGAACGTCCCAGGGACCCTGGATCCTTTCAGCCTTCCCTCTCGTGTTCAGAGCAGAACCGCCTTCCCTTCCGTCTGCTCCCTCTTCTGCCTTCTCTGGACTGTACCACACTAGCTTTCTGTCTGTGCAGGCAGATGGCACAGCAGCGGCTCCTAACCTGGACTCCACAGATCCCTAGAGGCTCAAGGATACGTTTCAGGAGACCCTGGACCCTGAAGCCATAGCTTTCATCAGTACCTTTACCCTGGACGCCATTTATCCACAGTTTCTCCTACATATCCCCTGAGGAAGGTCCCTACTCTTTGACCCTCCGTGACATTAATTCTGTTTAAAATTCCCACAGATATCTTCACCATACAATCTCAGGCTTTCTTCAACCAGCCAAGCAACCCCTAGGTACCTCAGTACAGATATCTGAGTAGAGATGTACCCAGAGCTATTTACCTTTAAGCAATGGATGGGTCTGAATACACTGGTGACAGTCACACATGCATCCAGCTATTATCTACTTTCCTAGAGTTTAGGTCTCCTGTGAGAGAGCTCTTACTTCCTACATTGCAGTGTAAGCCAGACTTGGTCAATCCAATGGATTATGGAGCCTTGGTAATTGTTGCTGAGTGATGAGACCTTAGGAAACATGGATTGGTGTAGCCCCAAATAAATGAACAGGATGGGAAAAAATTCGGAATCCATTGTTCTTTCTATTGTATTTTACAATGCTGTTCTTTGGATGTTTGAAGCGAGTACAGAGAAAAGGCAGTACCGGGAAGAAAATCAAGGAAGCAGCAGAGATCTCGGCACTCGTTGGCTCTGCAGATAACCTCTGATAACCTCAGTTGGAAATAGTCCAGTGTTTGGATCTAGACTCCCTCTGCTATAAAGGACACACTGTGTCAAGAAGGAAACATTAAAGGAATGTTTAACAATAAATTTTTGTTGCCTACAATTACGCGTGAAATGCCTACCACTCAATTCTGTAGCTTCTTTGAACTCCAGTTTACTGCAAGAAGGAAATGTTCAAGTTTACAACCCTTGTCCTGTTTTCTTTGGAGCTGTTGGAACCACAGTTCCGGTTTTTAACATTTGTTAAATAAGTGGGACTGATAAGCTTGTTAAAGCATTCAGCCATTCACAGGGCAAAACGAATACACAGAGAAAAAAAAAAAACAAAAACGAATACACAGAGGGTAATAGCTTATCAACGTTGCCAATTCCTTTCACCACTCTTCTGACGCAGAAACAGAGACTGGAGTGTTGGGTTTCCATGACAAGAGAGGAGACCGCTGGACAGAGGCAGTTCACTGCAGACCGAGAAAAAATCCATAACCTAACCCTTGGGACACATTGAGGAGTGACATTATCAACATGAAATCTGGAAAAAAAATTTTTTTTTTTTACTAAAACTCAGTGAGTTCGTGCCAGAGTAAAATCTCCTTGTCCCATGGCAACATTTTAAACTATTCTGCATTTCCAAGAAAAAATGCTTCTGGCCTTGTGTTTCTGGAGATAATGGTTTTTGTTCTCCACACAGCCACACTAATCAAACATGCTTCTGCTTACAAAACCTTATATAGCCACCAAGAATGTGCTTCTGGGTGTATTCTGGGTATTACTCGATTCACACACGTAATCCCCCCCCCCTTTTTAAATTTACTTGCAGATAAAAAAGGGGTTGGAGAGAAGGGCAGGGAGATAAGGGGAAATAATTGTTCTCAGTGAATCAGTTGTGCCTCAGATGCCACCCTTCCAGCTTGAAGAACAGGGTCTGCAAGAAGCCCACAGAAGTCAGTGCAACCAGTCTGATCATGGAGGGCTGTTCAAAGGGGCTTTGCTATTAACTTTTATAAGTCAGTGCTTAATTTCTTCTTCCTGTAAGGAATTGGGAACATCTTGGAGCCACCTACACCAAGTGTCCACATGACACGGGTACCTTTATAAAGACTGAGTGGCCACGAGATTGAGCACTTCCCATTCTGGCTGAAAGAAACTGTTATGGACTGAATGTTTGTGGCCCTACCCCCCAACCTGTACCATCACCAAAATTCCTATGTTAAAGCCCTAACCCCCAATGTGATGGTATTTGGGGGTAGGGCCTTTCAGAAGCCATCAGCCTTAGATGAGATCATGAGGGTGGGATCATTATAAGAAGCGGAAAACAGATCCCTCTCCCCATGAGCACAAGGAAAGTGCAAGGGAAGACCCAGCAAGAAGGTAGCTGTCTACGATCCAGGAAGAGGGTCCTCACCAGGAACCCAATCTGTACCTTTATCTTGGACTTCCCAGCCTCCAGAACTGGGAGGAGTAAGGGTCTGTTGATGAAGCCACCAGTCTGAAGTATTTTGTATAGCAGCCCAAGCTGACTGAGACAGAAACCTCACAGTAAGCTTCCTCTCTCTGATCTCCATCCATATCCTTTCCTGAGAATCTGTTTTTGCAGTTGGAGCTGCTCTTTAAGGTTTGGAGAACTGAGACCAGGCCTCCAGTGGGGAAAGGGCAAATTCATCTGCAACAAAAACCTGTAATAATAGGTGGAAGCGTCCTCCTTACCTGAGACCTCTCTGCCTTCTCCTCTTGTCCTTCCGCACACCCCACAATCTGTCCTCTTGTTATACCTTTTCTATTTAAATGGAGATCCTTGGTCTCCCTTATCTCAGTGCCTGACAATCACCATGCACCCACTACCCAAGTCAGAAATCAGGGAGTCATTCTTTTTTCTTTAATCCTCTTCTTAATTGAAGTATAATTGATTTACAATATTACATTAGTTTCAGGTGTACAGCATAGCGATTCAATATTTTATAGATTATATTCCATTTAAAGTTATTATAAAATAATAGCTATATTTCCCTCTGCTGTACAATATATCCTTGTTCCTTATCAATGTTATACATAGTAATTTGTACCTCTTAATCCCCTACCCCTATCTTGCCCCTCCTCCCTTCTCTCACCCTCACTGGTAACCACTTCTTTGTTCTCTATATCTGTGAGTCTGTTTCTGTTTTGTTATATACGTTCATTTGTTTTATTTTTCAGATTCCACATATAAACAATATCATACAGTATTTGTCTTTCTCTGACTTATTTCACTAGGCATAATATTCTGTAGGTCCATCCACATTTGTGCAAATGCTGCAGAATTTCATTCTTTTTATGGATGAGTAATATTTCATTGTGTGTGTGTGTGTGTGTGTGTGTGTGTGTGTGTATCTCACATCTTCTTTATTCGTTAATCTTCTGATGGACATAGGTTACTCCCATATGTTAGCTCTTGTAAATAACGCTGCTATGAGCATTGGGATGCATGTATCTTTTCGAGT